CCAGGAAGTGGCTGCCGAGCCCGGGCGGTCGGGCTCCGCGTCCCGCCTTCGCCCTGAAGGAGGTCGGTGACCTTTCGCCTTCGGGTGTCTCAGTGCCCGTGTGGTTCGTCACGAAGGTTTTGTCGAGTGAAAGTGTCTTGGGAAAAAAAACACCTTTAGTCAGGGAGAATAAAAAGAGGTGCTAAGCTTTCTGGCTATTTGAGACCTTTTTTTTCCCCTTCCTTTTCTGGGTGGGGAAGATGTCATTTCGGATGTCCAGCCCCCATTCCGAATTGTGCCACTGTCAGCATCTGCGAGGGAGAAAGAGCAGGGGCCGAGAGCAGCCTGGGGTTGTCTGGCGCTCAGGACGAAGTTGTGTCGGGAGATGGGGGCTGTTGTTTTTCAGGGTTTTAGATTCTGGGTTGTCACACACAGAAATCCCTACTCGGGCAGGAGCAAAATCTTGTCTTATTTCAGAGATGAATCTCAGATCCCTTAAGCCCCATGTGTATGTTCGCGTGGGTCATGCGTGATGAAGGTGCATGGCCGGGGTCGCTCAGCGCCGGTGATGGGGTGATGGAAGGTTTATTCCGGATCCTGATCTCAAGGTCACCCGAATTGATTTGCGTTTCAGACAGCCTAGCATCTTCAGCTTGACCATTTTAGGTTTTTATTAACCGTAGTCTGGACGTTGATGCAAAACTGATTTGAGAAGGGCTTTAAATTCGGTGTTCTGTTGCAAATATGTTATGCCTGGCCTCTTGGGTTGGAAGTTGCTTCCAAAGCATGTTGTACAGACCATTATTTTAGCACTTTTCATGGTTTCAGATGAACTGGCTGTTTATGTGGTCTTTTTGATGGCAGAAATCGGGGCTTAGTTTTCGTATATGGGTCATGTGTATCCTGCAGGCATTTTGTGGTGTGTCTGTCTATCAGTGTCTGGCAAATAAAGTGTTCAGTGGCTCTATGGTAGTAAATGAATATAGGTGATTTAGAGACGGTTCGCTTCTTAGAACCAAAGTTATTGTGCTGTGTGACAGTCACAGACCTAGGTGCTGGCAGTAGAGCCTTGAACCAGACCAAAATCCTCTAGAGCAGTGGTTCTCAACCTTCCCAATGCCGCGACCCTTTCATACAGTTCCTCATGTTGTGGTGACCTCCAATTTCATTGTTACAAATTGAACATAATTAAAGCATAGTGATTAATCACAAAAACAATATGTAATTATATATGTGTTTTCCGATGGTCTTAGGCGACCTCTGTGAAAGGGTCGTTCGATCCCCAGAGGGGTCGCGACCCACAGGTTGAGAACCGCTGCTTTAGCGCATCCGTACTAATTAAGATCTGAATTTTGAATTAAACTAGCCACATCAAATGAGTGGGAAGTGACTTATACAAGGTCGCTGAGTAATTGGCAGAGTCTGGATTTGCCTCCCATATGTCAGAAGCAGCTTTCCATTTTGCCTCTCCTGTTAAAGTATTTGCAGTCTAGTCTTCACCAGTGGAGGATTGCATATCTAGATAGAGTACCTCTAGCAGCGGTTCTAAACCTGTGGGTTGCGACCCCTGAAAATACATCCTGCATATCAGATATTTACATTACGATTCATAACAGTAGCAAAATTACAGTTATGAAGTAGCAACGAAAATAATTTTATGGTTGGGGGTCACCACAACATGAGGAACTGTATTAAAGGGTCGCGGCATTAGGAAGGTTGAGAACCACTGCTAGAGAAATACATTTGTTCTTGTAAAAAAAAAAAATTGTTTCTGTTTTTGCAAGTAGTCTTGTTTTCCAAAAAGGTTGAAAGTGGTAGGAATGCAAATAACCTGCAACAGACAAAATTTATTTGGGGATCCAAATGCTATTCATCCCTTTATGTTGAGGACTGTTAAGATAACTTTTAGAGTCATGTTTGTATAGATCAGTGGTTCTCAACCTTCTGGCCCTTTAAATACAGTTCCTCATGTTGTGACCCAACCATAAAATTATTTTTGTTGCTATTTCATAACTGTAATGTTGCTACTGTTATGAATCGTAATGTAAATATCTGATATGCAGGATGTATTTTCATTGTTACAAATTGAACATAATTAAAGCATAGTGATTAATCACAAAACAATATGTAATTATATATGTGTTTTCTGATGGCCTTAGGCGACCCCTGTGAAAGGGTCGTTTGACCCCCAAAGGGGTTGCGACCCACAGGTTGAGAACTGCTGGTATAGATCCTTTACCCAGGGCCTTAGATTACCTATTAATACCTTATGACAAGGTACTTTCAGTCTAAATTTCCTTAGTTGTAAAACAAGAATAAGACTACACTGGTGTTACCACTAACTAGTACCTTAAACACGTTATTTTTTTCTGTGACATAGTTTCCTCTGTAAAAATGGTGCCAAACTTACCTCAGTGTATTGCTGTGAGGATAAAAAGAGTTGGTGCAAGTAATGTCCATGTAATCGTTCTTGGCATATAGGAAATACCCAGTATTCACTGTCATTATTAAAACAATTTTTCTTTTTTTAAAAAATATATTTGTATTGATTTCAGAGAGGAAGGGAGAGGGAGAGAGAGATAGAAATATCAATGATGAAAGAGAATCATTGATTGGCTGCCTCTGCATGCCCCCCACTGGGGCTCAAGCCCACAACCCGGGCTTGTGCCCTTGACCAGAATTGAACCCAGGACCTTTCGGTCCACATGCTGACACTCTATCCACTGAGCCAGACCAGCCAGGGCTTCTTTTTTTAAAACTGTATTTTTATTAACACTATTGAAGATGTCCCCATTCCCTTCCCTCCTTGCCCATCTCTACCCAGTCCCCACCCCCCTCCCCCCTTCTCTCTGGCCATCAAAACAATAACATTTGAGCACCCACCCATCCTCTACACTGGAAAGCTGCAGTATACTAAGGGAAAACTACATATTAGTGGGTATAATACAAAAGTAAGCAAGTGAGAGGTTTCTTAGCATTTATCATGATTTAAAACTCAAATTGGGCCCTAACCGGTTTGGCTCAGTGGATAGAGTGTCAGCCTGTGGACTCAAGGGTCCCAGGTTTGATTCCGGTCAAGGGCATGTACCTTGGTTGCGGGCACATCCCCAGTAAGAGGTGTGCAGGAGGCAGCTGATTGATGTTTCTCTCTCATCGATGTTTCTAACTCTCTTTCCCTCTCCCTTCCTCTCTGTAAAAAATCAATAAAATATATTTTTTAAAAAAAAAACTCAAATTGGGCCCAGCCAGTGTGGCTTTGTGGTTGAGTGTCGACCTATGAACCAAATGAACCAGGAGGTCACGGTTCCATTCCTGGTCTGGTCACATGCAACACGGGCTATGGGCTTGATCCCCGGTAAGGGGAGTGTAGAAGGCTGCCAATTGATGATTCTTATCATTGATGTTTCTATCTCTCTCTCCCTCTTCGTTCCTCTCTGAAATCAATAAAAAATATTTTAAGAAAACTCAAATTGTGTAATGAGACAGAGAGGGTCTGGGAGAGGCTGAGGGTTGGGAAGGAGTTTGAGGAACTAAGACTGATACGAAGGAGCCAGTTATATAATGATCTGGGGAAAAGCATTCCAGGCAGAGGGAGCAATAAGTGCAGAGGCTTCAAGGTAAATGAACTTGAAGTATTTGACCAAAAAAGAAGGCTGGAGCCCGGTTTGGCTCAGTGGGTAGGGCGTAGGTCTGCAAACTGAAGGGTCCTGGGTTCGATTCTGGTCAAGGGCACGTACCTCAGTTGCAAGCTCCCATCCCTGGTCGGGGTGCATGCGGGAGGCAACCAATCAATGTCTCTCTCTCTCACATTGATGTTTCTCTTTCTATCTCTCCCTCTCCCTTCTACTCTCTCTAAAAATCAATGGGAAAATTCTCAGGTGAGCATAAAACAATAAAAAAAGGCTGGAGTCTATGGACAGGTCAACAAGAGGCAGGTTATGTAGAGCCTGATAATAATTACAGTAATAGTAGCTACACTATCTACACTAATAAAATACAAACATGCAAATTGACCATACCTTCGCTATGCCTTAACCCACTCCCACCAGCCAAATCAGAGCAACTGCATAAAAATTAACCCAACCAAGATGGCGTCCGGCAGCCACGGAGCTGAAGTGAGCAAGAGGCTTGGTTGCTCCAGTGATGGAGGAAGCCAAGCTTCCTGCCGGCTTCTGAGCTCCACTCAAAGCAACAAAGTTTCAATTATAGAAGCTAAATAAACCCCAGATACCTGCTTTCAGCTGGCCATGGCCATGGAGCTGGAGCGAGCAGGAGGCTTCCCTCCCGCCCACCCTGGCCGGCTCTGAGCTCCTCAGTTATAGAAGGTAAATAAATCCCAGAATAAAAAACAAAAAAGGAGAGGCTGGGGGCTTGGCCAGCCTGAAAACGGCCCTCAGCCCCTCAACCAGACTGGCCAGGCACCCCAGTGAGGACCCCCCCACCCTAAAGGGGGTGTGGCCAGCCTGAAAACAGCCATCAGCCCCTCACCCAGGCTGGCCAGGCACTCCTATATAATAAAAGGGTAATATGCAAACTGACCCTAACAGCAGAAAGACTGGGAATGACTGGTCACTATGACACACACTGACCACCAGGGGGCAGACGCTCAATGCAGGAGCTGCCCCCTGGTGGTCAGTGCACTCCCACAGGGGGAGCTCTGCTCAGCCACAAGCCAGGCTGATGGCTGCCAGTACAGCGGTGGTGGTGGGAGCCTCTCCCACCTCCTCAGCAGCGCTAAGGATGTCCGACTGCAGCTTAGGCCTGCTTCCCGCTGGCAAGTGGACATCCCCTGAGGGCTGCCGGGCTGCCAGAGTGATGTCTGACTGCCAGCTTAGGCCCAATTCCCCAGGGAGCAGGCCTAAACCAGCGGGTGGTCATCCCCCAAGGGGTCCCAGACTGCGAGAGGGCACAGGCCAGGCTGAGGGACCCCCCTCCCCCGAGTGCACAAATTTTTGTGTACCGGGCCTCTAGTTACTAATATTAATATCATGAAAACTTACTAGTACTATTACTAGACTGATGTTATAACAACAGTAATAAAAGCTATATTTGGAGAGCACTAATGTGTTAGGTGCTATTCCACATACTTTCTTAGCTCATTTAATCCTCACTGCAGGTTCTGGTAAGTTGCCTGCGGTGAAGCAGTGTGTGTGAAGAGCTCAGCACTGGTACTATACATATCTGGCATCAGAAGATGGCAACTTTAAGATGCTGATGGAGGAAATTATGTGAATTCTGTCACTATTTTAATGGCAGACTTTTGAAAGACATTTAGTCAAATTGACAATGAAGTGCCTTTAAAAAATGTTTTTATTGATTTTTAGAGAGGAAAAGAAAGAGAGAGAGAAAAACATCCATCGGCTGCTTCTTGCATGCCCCCTACTGGCAATTGAGCCTGCAACCCTGGCTGGGAATCCAACTGACAACCTTTTGGTGCACGGATGGATTTCGTTGATTCAACCGAGCCACACCGGCCAGGGCCCAAGTGTCTTTTATAGGTAGAGCATAGTGCAAGTTTTTTTGGGGAATGAAAGTAGTGATAGTTAAAGTGGTTTAGTGTGTATCAAGTACTCTAAATGTTTCACAGGGATTATCTCATTGAACAGGGATATGAGACAGGTTTTATTTTTATTCTCCAGCTCATTTACATCTGAGTATACTCAGACTCAGAAATTATGTAACTAGTTTGACAGCAAAAGGCAGAGCCCTGGTTTGACTTTTTCATCATTCTAGAGCCAAAATGCTTAACTTCAAGCTATAACTAGGAAGTGTGAAATTCCAAAGAAACAAGTACTGTCGATTTTTTTTTTTTAAAGGGAGAGGCAGATTCAAAGGAAATCTAAGATTAAGGTACATTATTAACTCAAGGCTGAAATAGAATATCCTTCCTTGATAGTTAACTTTGTTTCTGCACAAAAGGTTAAGATGTTTCTTCAATAATGGTAGCTATGTGTCTTTTAGGAATACATATAATTTGAGAAAGACTAATTATTCTAATATAATCCATACTCCTCTTTTCAGTCATTGTTTTTAACTTATACTTTGAGATAGGATCATTTGCAAATTTGGTTAAATACAGTTGGTATATGCATTCTGGATGTTTACAATCCTAGTATTCTAGAAGGAAAATTGGTTCTTTATTAGGATTTTTTATGTCAGAATTAACTGTGATATGGAAAATGTAGAAAAACTTCAAAGTGTAATTTTAAGCAGAGAGTTGAAATATAGGAAAGTTGGGAGAGCCTGGTGAGAAGAGAATATAAGAATGATTATCTTTATATATACATAAAGAATATAATTGTTGCCGTAACCGGTTTGGCTCAGGGGATAGAGCGTCGGCCTGCGGAGTGAAAGGTCCCAGGTTCGATTCCGGTCAAGGGCATGTACCTTGGTTGTGGGCACATCTCCAATAGGAGGTGTGCAGGAGGCAGCTGATCGATGTTTCTCTCTCATCGATGTTTCTATCTCTCTCTCTCTCTCCCTTCCTCTCTGTAAAATCAATAAAATATATTAAAAAATATATATATAATTGTTGCCCTAGCTGGTTTGGCTCAGTGGATACAGCGTCGGCCTGGGGACGGACCAAAGGGTCGATTCTGGTCAAGGGCACATATTTGGTTGCAGGCTCCTCCTGGGCCTGGGCCCTGGACAGGACTCGTGCAGGAAGCAACCAATCAATGTGCTTCTTTCACATCAGTGTTTCTGTCTTTCCCTCTCTCCTCTCTACTCTCCCTAAAAATCAATGGAAAAATATCTTCCGGTGAGAATTAAAAAAAAAAAAAGAAAAACACACAAAACAACCCAGTGTAATTGTTAATTTTTTCTTGAGCACAGAAATGTACATTTCATTGATCATGGAGAGATTTATAGTAACTACTGGGAAGACTGATAGGTAGGTACTCAATTGACTATGGCAAATTATAGCAAACATGCTAATTTTACATGATAAAAGCCTAATATGCTAAGTGTCCGGTCCACCGGTCAGCTAGTCAACCAATCAAAGTGTAATATGCTAATGATATGCTAAGGCCGGTTAACTGCTCGCTATGATGTGCACTGACCACCAGGGGGCAGATGCTCTGACCAGTAGGTTACCTTGCTGCTGGGGTCTGGCTGATCGGGACTGAGCGAGATGGCAGGACACACCCTGTAGCCCTCCCGCAGTCCCTCCCTGGTCCCAGTTGTGCACCAGTGGGGTTCCTCGGCCTGGCCTGCACCCTCTCGCAATCTGGGTCCCCTCAGGGATGTCGGAGAGCCTGTTTCAGCTCAATCCCGCAGGCCAGGCCGAGGGACCCCACTGGTGCACGAATTCGTGCACCGGGCCTCTAGTAATGTTTATAAGATTCTACATACCCTATTGTGAGGTAGTGTAGGTACAATATCACCTAGGTAGGTATTCATTGGTTCATTCAACAAATATTTATTTAGGCCTACTATGTGCAGACCTAACTATGTATAGGGGATGTAAGGATGAACAGGACAGAATTTCTACTCTAAAGGAGCTTAGTATATATACAGTATCGGGTAGTGTTTAAGAGATATTTGCCTGTGTTTGAATCCTGGCTTTTCCACTCAACCAGCTGTGTGGCCTTGGACAAATTATTTGACTTCAACTTGCTTTAGTGTCCTCATGTATAAAATGAGGTTGATAGTTTCTATATATATAAAAGCCTAAGCGACATTTACGACCAGTTGACCAAATGATCGGTCTACCGATCACTATGACATGCACTGACCACCAGGGGGCAGATGCTCAATGCAGGAGCTGCCCCCTGGTAGTCAGTGCACTTCCACAGGGGGAGCGCCGCTGAGCCAGAGCTGCCCTGGGCTCACAGCTGGCAAGCACAGCAGTGGTGGTGGGAGCCTCTCCTGCCTGCAGTGGTAAGGAGTGAGGGGTCCCGGACTGCGAGAGCCCTGGACTGCGAGAGGGATGTCTGACTGCTGGCTTAGGTCCCATCTCCAGGGGCATTGGGCCTAAGCCAGCAGGCGGACATCCCCCGAGGGGTCCTGGACTGTGAGAGGGCACAGGCTGGGCTGAGGGCCCCCCCCCCCAAGTGCACGAATCTTGTGCACCAGGCCTCTAGTATATCTCATAGGGTTGTTAACGATGATTAAAGGACTTAAAAAGAGCTTAGAGCACTGCCTGACACATAGTAATTACTTTTAAGAGTGAATTTTTATTTTTTTAAAAAGCACTTGTGAGAGGGAGATAGATAATAACATGTAATACTATGTATCTGCTGAAATACCATAGAGAAAATAAACCAGGGTGTTTTAGCTAGAGATTGAAGGGTGGGGTAGGGTGCAGTGTCGAGAAAGGCTTTCCGTTTAGGTAGAGAATGCTAGTAATCTCGTAAGCCTGCTACCCTCCGCCCCTGTATGGAGGTACAAAAAAAACTTTGTATTTGGAAGTAATTTCAAACTTACCAAAGTTGCAAAAAATAAAGATAGTACACTTGGTATTAGTATTTTACCTCTTCTGCTTTATTATTTGCCCACATGCATGCTCTGTTACTCTGAACTTTTTGAGGGTAAGATACATATACCATAGCCCTTTGCTTTTAAGTACTTAAGTATGCATTTTCTAAGAATAGAGATACTTTGCCTAAATACAGTTACCAACTTCATAAATTTACAGTGATACAATATTTTAATCTGTTGTTCGTATTCTAGTGTTGTTCATTAATCCAGTGTTTTTTATAGCATTTCTTCCCTTTAGGATAGGATTTGGTTTAGAATTAGTGTTGTGTTGTCATGTCTCTTTAGCTCCTTTAATGTAATACATTTCCACAGCCTGCCTTTGTCTTTTATGTATAATATCCACATTTCTGAAGAATATATCCTCTGCTTCCCCCTTTTAAATAGAACATTCCATTTTTTGTATTTGTCTACTATTTCATCATTATTAATTTGAGAATATACATTCTTGCCTGAAATAGGTGATGTGTTCCTCTCAGTCACATGATGTCCATCTGTCCTTTTTCGATGATATTAATTAGATCCACTGGTCAAGATGTTGCACGATTTCCCTATTACATAGTGTTTTTTTCATCTCCCCTTGCAATCATAAGTAGCATGTGAGGAGACATTTTAAGATCATCTGGATATCCTCTTCATCCAGCTTTCCTCCTAGATTTGGTGTCCATGGATCATTCTTACTGATGCACTTTTACTGTGATGGTTGCAAAATTATGCCTTTCCAACTCCACTTGCTCTTAAGGGCCTATTGAATTCGATGTAATTAGAGATCAGTAACTACATTTTTGTAATTTTGAGAAAGAAAAACTAATTCATTGTTTTTCCCACAGGATGGCTCAACAGCAGGCCTTAAGGTTTCGAGGCCCAGCTCCCCCACCAAATGCAGTGATGCGAGGCCCACCACCTCTCATGCGACCTCCTCCACCTTTTGGTATGATGCGAGGCCCTCCTCCACCACCTCGGCCCCCCTTTGGACGTCCTCCTTTTGATCCTAATATGCCACCAATGCCTCCTCCAGGAGGGATTCCTCCACCTATGGGCCCTCCACACCTTCAGGTAAAGAATATCAAAGTTGTCATTCCTTCATTGTTGTTAATATTAATATTGTATGTCAGTTTTGCCTTAAAAACTGTGTTCTTAGTTTCACTTTATAGGAAAATATAATCCATATATTAATTTGTTGTTCCAAAAGCAGTGGTTTTGAGTAGAAATTCAGAATGGGAATTTAGATAGAAAAATATACTTCATAGGAAACAGGATTAAATAGAGTTTCTTACCTGCCTTTATTTCTGAGAATTGTCTTTAGTAACCCATCTTCTTTATGGGAAATGAAGTTTGAATTTTAAAGGTATAATTGTTTTAGTTATTGCTATTTATTTTTTAATACTTTATTCTTAAAATATATTTTTATTGATTTTAGAGAAAGGGAGAGAGAGAACAACATCAATGATGAGAGAGAATTATTGATTGGCTGCCTCGTGCACACTCCCTACTGGGGATCAAGCCTACAATCCTGGGCATGTGCCCTGACCAGAACCATGACTGCCTGGTTCATAGGTCAATGCTCAACCAATGATATATTTTATCATTAAGTATATACAGTGGGGCCTTGACTTACGAGTGTCCCGACTAACGAGTTTTTCGAGATAAGAGCCGTCTCTCGGCCGATTTTTTGCTTTGAGTTGCGAGCTAAAATTCGGGTTACAAGCCAGCTTCAGATACCCCACCGCTAGTTGGCGCAGCGAATGTCACAGTGAACGCCACAACATCAGCCCAGCATCAAGTGTCTCACTCGTTCACTTTAAGATTTGACATACGAGTAATTTGAGTTACGAGCTCCATCACGGAACGAATTAAACTCGTAAGTCAAGGCCCCACTGTATACATACATAATGTATATATATTCTGAGCAATTCTTGCCACAAATGAAGCCTAGGATAGAATCTAGAACAAAGCATTTTATAAGCACATTGTTTGAATATTTTTCTTCCCTGGGGGCCAAGGGGGTTATTTTATAATTTGAGAAATAGAATTGTGGGATTTCTTTAAATAAAAATTTTTCTGGTATTTTAACATGAGGCACAGATCCCTCTCTAGTATATATAGACTCAATTACTGTCTGAAATGAGGTCACGAAGGTGGCCTCTCTCAAACGTCTACTTTTGAGGTTGTGCTGTTTTTGTTTGGGTATGTATCTCTGTATCTCTGTTTTTCTTTGTTTATCCAGCCTATACTGTTCCGAAACCAAATAAATATAGTGGTATCATCTATTTTCCATTAGTTTAGATAATCAAGAATGAACTCACTAAAAATAACAAAAGATAACAAAGTACTACGGGAGTGATGTTAACTCTATTTAGATAGGGTCATATTTATGGAAGAGACACAGGTTTTAATATTTAATAATTTTATTGCCTTCCTAGTAATGAATAGCCCCTACCCCCTTAAACAAATTGTTAAAAAGTTTTATATTTTCTCTGAGATTAGAATAAGAAATAGATTTTTGACTGTCTCTGGTATAACTTGTTACATATGAATTTATTCTAATTTGGGCCTTTAAGAGTTAAACCTACTTGCAGAATATTATAAAATGTAATGGACTGATGTAACCCTCTAATGGAAATATATCAGATGTTGTAATGGGATACTTTCCAATGTTGTGATGTTTTCTTGGTCTTGATCGATAATTGTGTGGTTTTACATTAAATCCAAGTGATATGCAGTTAATGTGCTTTGGGGTGGATATTTTATAGAATGTGGGTCTGTGTGCTGATGCTTGAAAGACACTAAACTGAATTTTTTTAAAAAAAATCTGAAGTATGGGAAAGAAAATGAAGTACAGTTTCACATTATTAGCATGGTGTTAGTTCCATTATCTAGATTAAGATGCTTTGGATAACTGAAATTTATTGTTACTTGTATATTAAAGAGGATATCTTTGAATCCCCATTCAAAATCTGTTGTTAAAATGTTACACCACTTGTCTGCTTTAGTAAGGTTAGTAGTTACAGTTGAATTGTGTGGCTCAGAATCTTAATGTTGTGTCAATAATCATTGAAGAATGATAGTGAAGGAATTATCAGAGATAGGATTGAATTAGTAATAGTTCCAGGAAAAAAAAAATTGTAACATATACCATTTAAATTCTTATTTTCCACTAAAAGTAAAATGGATAATTTTACTATATCTTTTAAACTTAACTGATGTTAATGCCATTGGTGAGCTACTTATTGTTACTATTATTTGAAAAATAGAAAATTATGAATATTTTTCTAGCTAATATTTTTTTCTTGTAGGAAAAAGGATTAGCTATATTCAATTTTTCTCTTTTAGTTGTTGCTATGTTATTTGTAAACTAACGTTTCTCCTTTGCTTGGTTCTTATTGTAAGTGAGAGGTGGAAGCATTGGTGTGCCTGGTATTAAAAAAGATACAAAAGTTGCTTATTTTCTTCTGAAGGTAATCTAGTACCTAGTGTGTGAAATATGCAGTTGAAGTATAAATAATAAAATGAAATTCGCCCATAATGCTATTACCCAGAGATAACTACTATATGTTGATGTATTTCTTTCCAATCTGTTTTGTTCCAGAGAAACTTTGCTTATGCATCCTAGATGAGTGTTTTTGAATGGACTGTAAAGCTACTTTGGTTGCTCTTATAATACTTTCCTTTGGGGTAGAATTTAGTAATAATTTGAAAGGAAAAAAGATAAATACAAGTGACCATTACTGTTCTTGCGAATTAACAGAGACCGCCTTTCATGCCTCCACCCATGGGAACCATGCCTCCTCCTCCGGGTATGATGTTTCCACCAGGAATGCCTCCTGTGTCTGCCCCTGGTACTCCAGCACTGCCTCCTACTGAGGAGATATGGGTTGAAAATAAAACGCCAGATGGAAAGGTAAATTAGAAAATATATTTAGGTTGTTAACTCCTTAGTGACAGAAGAGTAAAACTTAAAGAGTTCTGGCAGATTGAGATCAATGACAATATTCTTGCCAATTAAGAATGAACCTGGGGTAAGCAGGGCGTGGGGTGGGACTTGATGAAAGGCTTAGTGGATTGGACTTCCACACAGACTAGAATGCTTACATCTGTTTACCTGTGATTCTGCAAGCTTGTATTTTAAATATGTATTATGGGTCCTCAAAACAACTCTAAGGTTTAGTATTCACTAGGAGGACTCACAGGACTCAGCATGTAGTTGTACCCACAGCTAAGACTAATTGCAGTGAAGGATACAAAGCAAAACCAGCAAAGAGAAAAAGGTAATGGGACGGAGTCTATAGGAAATGAACCACAAGCTTCCAAGAGTCCAGTCTTTGGAAGCACATAGAGTATGTATAATTTCTCCAGCATGGAATTGTGACAGCATACGTGAAGGGTTGTCTACCAGAGAAGCTCATTTGAGCTGGGGAGTCAAGGGATTTCATTGGGGACTGGCATCCTTTGCCTAGCACATAACAAAATTCCAGACTTTCAGAGGGAAAGCAGACATTTAGCATGAACTGCATTTTTGTGTAAACAATTTAGGCACAGTGAGCTGCTGTTCTTACTAGTTAGGGAATGGTGGTAACCCTCCCCAAATCCAAGTTCCCAGATGCCAGCCAAAGGTCAACTTTGCAGGGCTTTGTAAGGATAGCAGTGTTAACTGCACAAAAATAACATATGTGTTAAAAATATAGTATGCTCATTATAGAAAATTTCCCCCAATAACTTAATTTTAAGGCAAAATATAGTTGCATTATCGGTTTTTAATGACAGTTGACAGATTCTGTGATACCAGTGATTTTGCTTCCTCTGCAGGTTTATTATTATAATGCTCGGACACGTGAATCTGCCTGGAGCAAGCCAGATGGAGTTAAGGTTATTCAGCAGTCAGAACTGACACCTATGCTTGCAGCCCAGGCACAGGTTCAGGCCCAGGCCCAGGCCCAGGCCCAGGCCCAAGCCCAAGCCCAAGCCCAGGCCCAGGCGCAGGCTCAGG